AATTGGCATAGGTGAGAGGACGGCCTGTACTGAACCAAACCCAATTTTTGTTATCAGCGTGTATAGAGCCAGCTAGCCAAAAAGCTTCACGGTTTAGATTTAGACCTGAATGTAAGAAGAAAATCATGGAAGAATGGAAGAAGAAATTAAGGGATAAAGTTAAATGTAATATAATAAATTCTAATACTTGCCAGCTCGTGTTAAATAAGCCTGTAGTGCCCGGCTTTCTTCTCTTGAATTAATGGTGGCCAAGGAGAGACCCTGATAGCCGCAGATCTCTTGTGCTCTAAACCAGTTGACCTAGAAAAATATACATGGATTTTATTTGGACATCCTGCTGGAAGAAAAAAGAAACTCAACAATCGGCAAGGGACCTGTCTGTGCTATTGGAAATTCCTGCACTTTTAATGTCCAGCACTTTGAACTAAGCAGAGAGCTCTCTGCATTTTTTTTTCGAAAATTTTGAACAACTAAATTGATTGCCAGCAGTACTCACCGTTGCATACGCGATTACAACAAACATTTTTTCAGTTTGCTGTCCAGGAAAGGCGCGATAGTTGGACTCGTCCAATGCCTGAATGGAGAAGTTTGGAAATATTAAATTCGCATTTGGATCTTCGGTCAAATTTTGTGCGAGTAAATTAATTGCCGTGAAGCAAATACAAAACACCGCTAAAGGAACGTAGTTAAGCATTTTTTATAGTAATAAGTAGAAAATTGTTAATAAACTGTCAATTTTGAGTTACAAATTTATACTGTAACTTAACAACACTTGGCAGGGCTTTTATTAGCCCAACGGCTAAGCTTGTTCAGAGATAATCTTTCGAATGAGACATCAATCATTGTCAAAAGGGCTGTTTGTCGTCCATTTATCAGCGATGTTCTAAAAAACTGCCAATACTCCCATTAATGGAAGTTGTTATTATTACAAAAACTACTGTTATTCAAATTTGAATAGAATAATAAATGGTTTTATCTTAACAAACGTCTAGTCACGTGTGAAAAACGTGAGTGCATTACGGGTAGCTATAGACAGCGGCGACTTGCTAATGTGCAAAAGTATAATTATACATGATTTTTACTTTCGTCGAAACACGATCTCTCATTAAATAATATGTAGCGTGCACTCTATTCGCAGCCTAAGAAGAGCATTTAAAATACTACTCTACTTATTTTTGGAATTCGGGATACTGGAAGAAGAGGGGGCAAAAGAGGTGTATATTCAAAATAAAGAAACGATAGACAAAAAGATGAAATTCGGAGCGAAAATTCTTGCAGATATGATGGTGTAAATCTACCCTTGAGATATGAAGGGCAGTGCTTTTGAATATTGCCTCAGGGCCGTTTTACGAAATAAAAGATCAGTATTCGGGAAGGACAAGACAAGATGGAAACAGGAGTAATGCGCCATAAAACCCACAGAGAGTTCACGGAATAGTGTCTGAGCCGTCGGCGTAAAGCTAGAGCATGTGCAAGCTCTTAAGCAGAATTTGGCCTGATGAATACATGCCCGATCATGGCAATATCAGTGTTCTTTGCCCAATCCCCAAGAAGTTAAATGCTACTCGACGCAATTCCCCTTTTCATCGATTGTGGAACTTTCTTTCTGAAGATATATCTAAATTTGAATTCCCCTCACTATTGATAGGTTGATCTCAAGTTTTAGCTTCGACCACATTGTGAAAGACCGTTTCACGCCTTTCAACGCCAAAAGAGATGTAAGGCAGCTTTCTCGTGACTACTTGAATCTGTTATTGAAAAATTTCTCAAAAATTTGTCTTAATCTGCTCAGCTTTTGCAAAGCTACGGCCATATTGACTGGTGCTGAAGAGCTTATAAAAGCATTAGAATCCAAAGTAGTGAAGTCAAAAATTGTTCGAATACTTCGGGCAAAGCCAGCATCACTGGGTCACGCCAACGCCCCGGTTCAATATGAGACGGTTAGACACTGTTCGGAAATGCAGTTGAGCGAGACGGATAACTCACGAGGGATAACCATCGATTTGCGATCTACAAGTACACGTGACGAACTGAGACGCCTAAAAGCCTCAAGGTCTTTATGGCCGGGAACTTTTGACGGTAAAGAAATCCGCAGTAAAAACCAAAGCTCCAACAACAAGTTTTCTCTGTAAAAGTTGGCGGTATGAGGAACAGCAAGAATTATGAATGTGCCGGATATAGATTTTGCCGGATAACCGGATTCCGGATATCCTGTAAACAATAACAGCCGGATTCGGATATCCGGTAGACTGCTGCCCTTAATAAATTTCACAATATTGTTTTTTTTCCGGCTCGAGTTCACCTCGACCTCCGCACCGTTTCTGATGCTACAGAATTTACCACTTCGAAAACACAATTACGCACACATCTGTGCGATGCTATCGCAGTGAAGAATGGCATCTTATAAACAAACAAAAAACAATCTTCATGAAATTCTTTGCTTTTGAACAATCAAGATGTTTTGTTTTCTTACGTTAATTTTTGTTTAAATTATACAGAACCCGCCTATTAACCTTTTTCGTTTCCGAGCGCGTAGGTCTGCAATCTGCACCGTCAGAATGATGCCTTATATGGACCTTACATGGTCACATTGTTTACACGCTTCAAAAAACCCATCAAATTTCAGTTTTTCGTTTTGGATGAAGTTGAAGAGAAGCTTAAGGAAGCTTTGTATTCATTTGTTAATACTAATACTAAGTCGCATACTTTTTCCTTGTTCAATTACATATGTGTTTTTATTTAAATTATTGTGTACAAAATTTTTTTATTTGAACTTTGACCCTTAATAACTTTTGTAATTGTTGATCCCGCAAAAAAATAAATATACCGTTATAGTC